CTTGAGAAAATTAACAATCCTACTTTTTAAAGTGCTTTATATAAATATACTTTGCAATAAAAGAGCAATGAGGATTTTTTTTTTAATTTTACTATCTCCCATTTTCTCCAATTTAAAAGCAAACAATTGGTTCCCATTTTATTCAGCAACAAACAAGTTTTATTGTTAATTGGGTGATTTCCTAATATCACTCATGACTAGTACATTTTAATAAATGCAAATTATATAACTAATGGAATAAAATGGGCACTTAGAGCAAAAGTTTTATGGGAAAATTGATAACCAGCTAGCACTAAAATATACTTTATTTGTAGAAAATTCAGAAACTTCCAGAGCGGAAAGTACTTTCAGAGATTATTCAAGTGTTTCTTGATCATTTTAAAGGAAATGGAATGTAATCAGCAATCCCGAAAAAGAGATTACTCTTTTACCTACCCACCCCCCATGACTATCTGAAAAAAATGGTACCTTTAAGTGAAACTTCCCACTTGCTACTATTTCACACTTTGGGCTAAGTAATAATAAGATCTTCTTTATTAAAAAGTAAAAACCTGTTACAAAATAGTTGCATAGGGAAAATAAGATTTAACAATTCTTCCCATTGGGTATTTTTTTTAAAGATTTATTTTTTATTTATAAAAGAACTGCGGTGCAGGCCAGAGGTGCAGGAGGGTGAGAGGATTCACCAGAGACAGAGAGGGGAGCAGAACAGGCAGACTGACTAAAGACACTGCTGAGGGTAGCAGCAGGCAAGGCAGGAGAGGTCTGCTGCGCCATGTGGGAATCTCCCTGGCTGGCTGGGAATCAAACCCGTGCTGCACAGGGTGCAGACAACTTCACAGCGCTGTGCTCAACCTGTTGTGCCACCGGGAAGGTCCCCCATTGTATATTCTTATTAAGTGCACACATACTTAACCTGATCTTATCAGAAAAATGAAAATAACTTTAAATCATAATAACTGGACCTTTCATTTCTCAATGAAAATTAAACCTTTGAAACTTATACCATTTAATTTATTCTTCATTAGACATCAAAAAATGCTAACAAGCATAAAAGAAAATATAAATACTTGTAACTGAAGTAGTTAGTTTCATGAAGAAAAGTGCTATCAGTTACCTATATACCTTGGTAAAAAATATCCTAAGAATTGAATCAAATATATGGCTTTCACAACTAGCAAAGGAAGTCATTACTGCGAGACCTTTCCCCTCCACTCTAGCTCCCTTAACACTAACTATGGCAAATGAACAGCTGTTAACAAAGAAATCACCACAAATACTCATAGCAGCATCATTCATGACAGTCAAAAAATAGATAAAATCCAATCCCCACCAACTGATAACTAATAAATATTATGTGGCATATCCATATATAGTTTAGATATATTATTTGCCCCCCCCCAAAAAATGAAGTTCTTATACATGCAGCATTATGAATGAGCCTTGGAAACAAGCTAAGTGAAAGAAGCCAGTCACAAAAGAACACATACTGTATGATTACTTTTATGTCAAGTATCTAGACTATGGAAATCTATGCAAAGAGAATGATTAGTGGTTGCCTAGAGCTAGGAGGAATGGGGGCATTACATGGTGGCAACTAAGGAGTTCTTGTATGTGTAAATAAATAAATCTTTAAAAAAAGTTGCATGAAAAAAGAAAAAAATAAAAATTTGTCTGAGTAAACCATTTTAAAATTACATCAAACCTTTAAAGGTATTTTTAAAAATTCTTTCTTGCAAGTTGATCTATTTATCAATAGTTCATTCATTATTAAAAACAAATGACATCTGGTTTGTTTCCAGTTAGGGGCTATGACAAAATAAAAACTTTGCTATAAAAATTTCAAATCAGGGCCTCCCCAGTGGCACAGCGGTTGCGCGCTGAGTTGCGAAGCTGCCCGCAGCCTCTGCAGCACTGGTTCAATCCCCGGCCACCGGGCGAGGGTCCCACGTGTTGCGCAGACCTCTCCTGCTGCCCGCTGCTCCCCTCAGCAGTGTATTTCGTTAGTCTGCCTGCTCTGCTCTCCGCTCTGGCTCTGATGAATTCTCTCAACCTCCCAGTGCTTGTATAAATAAATAAATAAATCTTTAAAAAAAAATTCATATCAGTTTTTTGTGTGAAATTAAGTTTTCATTATTCTGGGATAAATGTTCAAGATTCTAATTGCTAATGTGTATAGTCAAATGCCAATTTTAATATTAACAATGGTAACCTTTCTGAAAAATACAAAGCTATCATCAATTTCCACCCTCCACTTCTTTGTTTTTTATTATAACAAAGTTACTTTTTTAAAAGTAGCATTTACTGAACAGGTATGTTAATAGACCAAGGCACTATTCTAAGCATTGAAACACTTTATCCTATGTAATTCCTGTATAGACAGTGAGGTAAGTGTTGATATTATCCCCATCATACAATTGAGAAGACTTAGGCACAGGAGAAATTTTGGGACCTAATCCACAGTCACAAAGCTAGGACATGTGAGTAAGGATTTAAATTCACATGTCTAACTATACCTTTTACCCTTATAACATATGTGTGACTAGACACAAAAAGTATGTATGAATACTTTACCTGTAATTAGATGATAAAGTTTACATGTGATTACATTTCAACAAGGAGATTTAAGAATTAGACATGATCTCTAACATGCTACACAAATAACCAAAACTAACCCAATGATCTACTAATATTTGTACAAAAATTGTACAAGTAAATGGTAACAAATACTAGATGAAAACTAGTATGAAGTAATTGTCCAAGGTTTCTTTTAAGTTTACTCTCCATTAGTCTTATGAAAAACAGGAAAGCTGGGATGAGATGAGAAAGGAAGACAAGGGAAATTAAGGTATTGATGTATAAATTAAAAGGTAGAGACTTCCAATTGTAAGAGGAATGTAATATACAACTGATGACTATTGCTACTGCTAACTTATGACACATAGGTAAATTGTTGAGAATAAATCCTAAAAGTTCTCATCACTAGAAAATATATTCTTAGTCTTTTTTTGTTTTCTTCTTATTTCATCCATATGAGAAAATGAATGTTAGGCTCAACCACTTGTGGTAATCATTTCACAATATATGTAAATCAGACTATCAAACTGTCCACCTCTAACTTCTACAATGGTATAGAAATAGGTCACATGGTATCATATGACATAGGATACAGTGATATGTCAATCATTTCTCAATAAAAAGGGGGTGGGTGGGGAAGACCCAAGCAACTAATGGAGCAGTTTGAGTGTCAGAGGTACTCTGCGCATCCCAAATCACACTTTGCCACTTTGATCTGCACAAGTGAGTAAGGAAGGGATCTTTTCCAAAAGCTCTGGTAACTAGACCCATGCAAAAGGGACCATATGTTCAGCTCTTCAGCAGTCTATTTACTTCTCAGAGAAACAAATCCCAATAGGGCTCCCTAACCATCCATTCACAAACACTAACACCAAAAAAGTCATAGTCACAAACACCATCATCAGAAATTTCATAATAATCTGAAAGTGCCTCACATTTTCTGATTTTTCATCAAATATCAATTGCTAATTTCTTTTAATTTATCAGTAAGATTCATTTTTTTAATTAAAAGTTTTGGTTAGTTGTTCCTTATTCCTACCAAAACAAGCAACAATGCCAAACCTACATAGAATTTAAAAAATAAAGATTAAAATGAACTTTTCCTATTAAGTGTCTCCAATTTAGCTTCATATTAATTATCATCTGAGTTTCCAAACTAGCTACACAGTAGAATCACTTGAGGATCATTTTAAGATCCCAATAACCAGGTCACAACTAACCAATTAAAATTTTAAAAGAATTTGGAGGTAGGGGTTAAGACGCAACCTATGAAACAATCCACAGCCACTGCAGCACGTGTTCGATTCCCGGCAGGCCAGGGAGCAGCCCACATGGCACAGCAGACCTCTCCTGACTCACCCGCTGCTTCCCTCAGCAATGTACTTAGGTCAATCTGCCTGTTCTGTTCCCCACTCTGTCACTGGTGAATCTTCTGACCCCCCCACACCTATGGCCTGTACCCCAGCTCTTGTATACATAAATAAATCTTAAAAAAAAAAACTCTTTAAAAAAAAAATTGGAGGTAGAAGTGTCATTATTTTATTAAAAGACACTCAGGTTTTATTAGTAGTGATTTTAACAATAGTATAACAACTGTTATACTATTGTTATACAATCGTTTCTCCTTTTTTTAATAAAATGAGAAATTAAATGAATATTAATTATGTAGCTTCAATACTATAATGAGTAAGTCTAAATGTAACTTCTGGGGAGCACTTAAATATCTCCAAAAATCACTGAAGATGTACCTTGAGTCTCATTATCACTCTAAACTCTCTATTTTTCAGGTACTAAAAACTTACATAGGGCCTCCCCGGTGGTGCAGTGGCTGAGTGCTCGCTTGTGAAGCTGCCCACAGCCTCTGCAGCGCCGGTTCAATCCCCGGCCACCGGGTGAGGGTCCCACATGGTGCACAGACCTCTCCTGCCGCCCGCTGCTCCCCCCAGCAGTGTACTTTGTCAGTCTGCCTGTTCTGTTCCCCGCTCTGGCTCTGGTGAATTCTCTCACCCTCCTGCGCTTCTGACTGTACCCAGTGCTTGTATAAAAAAATAAATAAATCTTTAAAAAAAAAAAAAAAACTTACATAATGAGAAATCATAATTCATTTAGTTGCCAAAACTTCTTAAAAATCAGAATAATCAACTGAGACTATTAGAATAAACAATCAATGGAACTGAGACTATGCATTTAATAGAGAAATCTATTAAGTCAATTTCTTGGACAGTAACCTAAGGAAATAATCATAGGTGTACACCAAGTTGTAGCTATAAGATAAATTGTGATATGGTATAAATTAGGATTGTAGACATTAAAGATAACACCATAAAATATTAAATGGCATGCATGATTGCATACTGAAGTGTTAAATGTAAGTCAATCAGAAAATACTCACATACAGTATGTATGATATACACGAAACCTACTTGCAGTTGAACTGAATTGTGCCGAAGACCTTCCACAATAGAAGAAAATCTGTCAATTTTTCTTTCTTCTCCAGCTGATGTTAACGCTTCTAAAACTTCTTCAAGGCTATTGGAAAATTTTTAATCCATAAATTAATTAATTTGCAAACAGATAATTCAAATGCCAGAATATCACTGATGATTACTAAACTGCAGCCACTACTCCTAAGCTACTGATAACATTTTAAAGGTAGCTTACCGAGTACATTGCATGTATCAATTTTCTGAACATGTTATGTATGTTTTACCCATTCCTCATGAGAACCCTAGGATGATGTTTATTTATCAGCATTCTATAGTCCTTACTGCACATCAGATACAACTTGAACCAGTTTATAAATGTTAATCCAGTATATAAATGCTAATTTATATAATTCTATGAGGTCGGTACTATTAGTATCATCCCATGTTACATATTAGGACAATGTGGCACAAAAAGTTTAAACAACTTGCCCAAGGTCTCACATCTATTAAACAGCCAAACAATGAGCTGATGCCAGTGAGTCTATGTAGTGAGCGCTATATAATGCTCTCAGTCACCACACTCTACTTTCTCTCAACTCCACCACCGAATAAATGTAAATAAATGAAGTTCTGGTAGAAGAAAGTATATAGTAGTACGGTATTATAGTCAAATACAAATTATGCAAGAAATATTTTTGTCCCCCCTTTAAACAAGAGTTCTGTTAACATGCAAACCACAGCAGCTCAGAGTTTGGACACATGAACATGTAGTTCTAACGGTATTTTACGTCATTTTGGTACCTGCTGTGAAGTCAACAAAAAATGAAAATATGGCAGTGGAGGAAGTAGAAGAAGTGAAAGAGGAATAAAAGAAAAAGAGAAAGACCAAACAAAGAAGATAAATGAGAGGGAGAAGAGGGGAAATAAAGAAAGGGGGAGAAATGGATAGAGAAGGAACAGGCAGTACAGGAGGGAGGGGGAAAGAAGAGGATGAAGAGAGGGAGAGAGTGGGAGACAGAGCAAAGACATATCTTTTGTATCAACATTAAACTGACTCTCTGATTTCTACACTAAAATTAATGTCGACTTTTTAAAATGGAAAAGGCAAAGAGCTGAAGCAACATGCCCGGCTCTCCATGCTAGACTGCAGTGGGGTGCAACTTTGGTCATAAATAGGTGCTACTAGGATGAGCGGTGCCTCTGACTCTACCAGTAGATTCAAAATGAGCAGCTCAACCGTCACCAGCCCAGCAGGATGACCACAGGACCATTTAAGTGTGTGCAGAAGTTCCACCCTAGTTAGAAGTCCGCCGACCCTTCTAGGAGAGGACGATTTCTGTGTGTTCTTTTGGTTGTACAGTTTTTTCATTTGTACTCATTTTTAATTTTATTATTTAATATTTGTGTGACATAGGCATATGCTTGCAATTTCTTTGTAAGTTATCTTAGGATACTGACAACATATAACATATGCATATTGACAGTTTTATTTCATTTTTTATATATTTTATCCTTTTCAGTGGCAAATCAATTTTTAAGAGACTCCCCCCACCAAATTAGACAGCAATCTTTTTAAAAAAAGACTATCTTTCTACCTTTATAATTATCCTTTAACACACATGGAATGGTCATTTACTTACAGTACAAACCAATGTGGAAAATGCTATTAAGTTTAAAGCTTTAGTGTATACTTTATGGTCAAAGATTATGGACCCTCAACCAATTAAGCCCTGTTTATTACATGTATCACTTTCCAAAGCATTTGAATATTTTTCAAAGTTCTCATTTAAAGTTGTTAAATGGGGTTGAGTTCAGAACGATTTAAAACATGAAATCAGTTTTTTATAGACACGTTAGCTGACAACTACTGTAACTACTATATAGATTATTTCTCTTCAGTCAGTACGAGCTACTAAGTATGATACATTTATTTAAAGTAAATTCTAACCGAAAATAAGTAATGAAAACATTAAATGAATCAAACTGTATTAAATATTTATATAATTAGAGAAAAAGTGAAGGCTTACATGCTTTCTTCCCCTACAATGCACACTGCAGAGAGGAGTTTAACCACATCGGTCATCATATGGGGGTGCTCAGGATCAATGGCTTTGGCTAATAAAGAAAGACTCCTCTCTTCACTCATAATTCTTTCCAAACCATACTGCAACATGTGGGAAATAAAAGGTTAGGAGTCAATTGAGAAAACTGTGCCTTAAAGAAAATGTAGTTATACAAAAAGATAAATACATGTTTACACTTAGGCAAGAAATGGAAAAATACTTAACAAACTAAAAAAATTATAGAAGTATTCATTTTGCATCAAGAACAATGAGAACCAACCAAATACAGGTAACTCCTCAATTGTGATTTCAGGAAAATATAATAGGTCAGTTAAAGAGAAAGAAGGAATGAGGGACGTAGAAATCTCTCAACAGGAATACAAAAAGTCAGATATTGATGCAGACACTGAAACCATGAAGAACTTTCTTGGGGAGAAATCTTGCTAAGAGAGGGACTACCACAAGTAATGCACACACATCAGCATCATCCCACAGAAATATAATGTGAACCTTGTGTGCTACTGAAAATTTACTTTAAACTAATCTTAATAAAATTAAACCGATACATCATTTTCAGTACATAATCAAAATAAAACATCAACTGGTAAGATAATTTAGTTTTTTTTCTTCCAAAGTCTTTCAAAATCCAGTATGTATTTTAAATTTACAGAATATAATTCAGATTAGCCACATTTAAAGTGCTCATTAGCCACATGTGGCAAGGATATTACAAAGTGCAAGCCTAGATAGTAACAATTCATAAATGGACAATTCTGAAGAATAATTTGGGTTGATATCAGTGTGCAATAGCATGAAGTATATGTATTCTGATCAGAATGATATTTTATCATGGAAAGATAATGCAGCATAAACACATTATATAAATGGTATGACTTCTGGATAAGGACAAAGTTTGTTTGCTACTTCCAGAATGTCACCTCCCATTAAAAAGGAGCTTTTTGATTTAAGGATATATACATTTCTTAGGGTCCACTTACAATCTAAGGAAGATGAGTAGCAAATAACAGAAGATGAATAGAAGCAATAAAATGATACTATTTAGCTACTAGGCATCTCAGAGGATCCTTCAAAAGAGTTAGAAATTTTTTGATTAGAGTTACTAGTAAGTACTAAAAAAGACCTTAATCCCAATTACGACCTATGAACTATAGCTTAAGCTCAAAATTAACATCAGACATTAAGTGCCAAAGTTAAATCTGTAACAAGCTTAGACCCAAATGTGTTGTGTGCTACAAAATTCTCACAACCTTCCTATCTTGTACATGGTAGTTATGTAAAGAAGTCTTCACACTAGTGAAACACTGCATTTGCATAAACTACTGTCTAAAGAATACGGGTGCAAAGGAGGGAACACATGCAGAAGGGTCAAAGGCCCTGGGACATAATCTTTGGAGAGACTTCTACATTCCTTGGAGAGAGAGAAAGGTTTACAAAGAGGAGAAAAAAAAAAGCTCACTTCTGTGATGCCGAGGGCTGTTCATAACTAGAAATAAAGAGCCAAAAAGCAGGCACAGGCCAGAGACTACAATATGCCTCGATGATCCTTCCAGGGAACTGTCAGAGTGTAAAGGACCACTCAGTTGCAAATCAAAAAGTCAATCAATGATCATGAAGTACCAAAGGGCTGGTTCTGTCCTAACAAACCTGAGGATTGAGTAAAACTTGTCTCCAACAGTTCCTCTTAATTTCCTGCCACTGACTGTCCTTGGGCAGTACCTGCCCTCTGGAATCAGGATGACTTCTCCAGCCTTTCAGGGTTATTCAGACTCATTTCCTCCACGTCACACTACCTACATTCTCTGTCAAGCCCTCTCGCCCTAAACCATCATGTGTGAAAAGTGGAACAGGAACGGTGTCTGATTTCCTAGTTTTGATGATCATGCTGTGACCCCCAATGCTCCATTAGAGGCAGGAGTCTCTAATTATGCTAACATAAAAATGTGAACTGTACATTTTAAGACTAGAATGAGGACAGACAGCAGTACAAAGTATCTAAAACTAAAAACAATGGCTGCCTAATTGTATAAAATTACTCCCATTCAATTACGAATGAAAATGTTGATTCCGTGAGAAACAGTCAACTTACCAGTATTGGCATTTAAAAGTACATTAAATTAAAGCTATTATAAGGTTAGAAAGGTGGTGACAAATTCTGGAAGGTCTAGGATGTCTCTCTACTGAATGTCAAGGCCTCACTCTGAAGCATATTAAAACTCATGTGTTCTAAACTAAGGACAATGTCACATTCCATTTGCATTCTATATGAGGCCTACTGTTACCTAACAGATGGAATTTCAGGCCACTGAAGATATATTAGGCAGGGACAAGTATTTAAGTAATTTAAACCTCTGCATTGGAAGGCTAATACTAGGAATACTGGTGCCAGACAACTGCCCAAGGTGAGTTAATCTCAGCAGCAGCATTAGCATGGGTAAGGGGGCACTTCAGGAGTAAAGTAACCTCGAAGTGGGTGCCCACCTCAAAGCAACACAAAAATTTAAGGGATCAAAACTATGCTCCTGTTAACTAAATCAACTTCTCATCCCAAATTTCATTTTCTTCCAAATATTCAATTCTTCTCAAATTAAAGATCCATGAGTCCCTTTGGTTTGGAAAAAAATGTTCTTGGTGTTCCTCTACTCTCAGTCTTTCCATCACCAGTGAAGTTTTCAATTTCTATGTTGTCAGTAAAGGAATGCTATGTCCACCAAGTGTAAGACCTCTCCCTATCAGCAGTTTTGCTTCTTTTATTTACTTGCCACTTATGACAGTCTACAAAAGGTTACTTAATATATCTAAAAAATAACCATCATAGGACGAGTCCATATAGAAAGGACTCGTGATCTTCCTTGAAAATCATACCTGATTGGGAGAAAAAATGTATCCTCAGTCAAAAATAGAAAAATTAGTTCTAGAAAATGCTGGAAAATACAGAAATCAGTAAGATAAAAATAATTAGAAAATGCAAGTATTTGCTACATTTAGTAAAAAGAAATATGTTAATTACTTAAGCTGGTGCTACAGGTTTAACCCTGAAAATAAAGGCAAACAATAAAAATTAACAAAATATACAGATAGTTGAGCTATATAACACAAATCATATCATCACATGTAAATTGCCCTCTCCTGATGTCTAACAGCAACTGAAACGCCTATCATTACTGGAAACATCATGAGGTAGACATGTTCTGGGGCTGGAGCACAGAGATAGCATGGGATAGAGCTAATTTCTGCAACTGACAATATACAAGGAAGGAAATACTGTAAGCACAATCTAATGCCAGTATTTTTCTCTAGCAATATGGCCTCTTTAATATGCAAACTCCGCAGATTTGCCATATTATATTTGGTCTCAATATTATTACATGTACTAAGCATCATTATTCCATTTCTAGGACCTGTTATATCTGTTTACATTCATTTCATTACAGATTTAAATACCTAGACTGTAAAATTTAGTCATACCAACTTAATTCCTTGGTAGTAAATATTACAGCAGACCACAAGTAACACTCATGTATGATTTCAAAGCTTATTTATGATATACTTTTGAAAAGTAAAAAAGATGAAAGGAGGGAGGCAGGAGAAAGGGAAGAGTAATTAAGCAGAAAAAAGGTCCCTTCATTCCCCAAGTTTCTTCTGCTGATAGTCTGATACAGAAATAAAAAAATCAATACTATTCATTTTTTTCATCATGTATTGAACGCCATACAAAACAATGTATCACTTTAGTGCAAATTCTTCATTATACAACTATGGTTCTTAAGAATTCTGCATGAACTGGTAAAGCACAAATATAAAATAGTTACCTATGTACATACCTGTGTATTCATCAAGGCCTTCAGACACTGTATAACTTTGTGCTGATTCTTCTTTACTATTTTTTCTTGACTGCATTGGCATAAAACATCTGTGTTACAATTGGAATTGAACATGCAAATGTAGCGTAATTGAATGTAATTAATTAATAATACTTACCTTTTGCCATGGATCAGTCTTTCCAAAATGTCTAGTAATAATCCAAGGCCCTCATGTCCAAAGCTTTGCACCCAACTGAAAAGGTGATAAGAGGTAGTTCTATATTAATTTAGTGCTCTTATTTGGAATATCACAACAGTGCTATCACAAATATTTTATACTTATTACATTCAAATCACAAATACAAGAATAATACCATATACAAAATCATTCACGATTCATTAAGTTAATGATAAAAGAAAGAGCAAAGATGGGATAAACCAGTGGTGCATTAATTGGAGGAGGGAAGACTCAGATCTACCCAAAGAAAAAGATTACCAAGAAGTTAATCAAGGGCCTCCCCGGTGGCGCAGCGGTTGAGAGCTGGGTTGCGAAGCTGCCCGCAGCCTCTGCAGCGCCAGTTCTATCCCCAGCCGCCTGGTGAGGGTCCCATGTGGTGCGCAGACCTCTCCTGCCACCCGCTGCTCCCCTCAGCAGTGTATTTCATCTATCTGCCTGTTTTGTTCCCCGCTCTGGCTCTGGTGAATCCTCTCACCCTCCTGCGCTTCTGACTGTACCCAGTACTTGTATAAATAAATAAATAAATCTTTAAAAAAAAAAAGTTAATCAAAATATTGAAAAAGTATTTTTTAAAGAATTTTCCAAACCACTAAAATACATCTTTGTAAATGTTAAAAATTTCTTGTTTCAAAGATCAATTTTTTTAAATTTCATTATTACATTATAAACAAGTATTTTCATTTTGACCAAACCACCTCTACTCCACAAAACCACTGATATAATCACAGTACTGTATGTACACCACTATTCTCCTTGATTATAGGAAAACTTCCTTGGCAAAAATTAATATAATTTGGTGATTCGAAAACCTAGAACAATAAGGGAAATATGCCTTACGATACATAAGTATATATGTGTCTCTGTGAGTGTGTGTGTGTGTATACACACATATGGTTTGTATATATGATTTGTGTGTGGCTTTCAAAAAACTGGAATGTAAAAGTGAACTGTTATTCAATCCAAAGGACATTATAAAGAATAAAAACAAGTTTAACTCACATTTCAGGACACAATACTAATTTCCTACTTAAGATATATCTGTTTCCAAGAAAATCAGAGTAAAAACCAAGTGCAACATAATTATATGAAAAATAAAAATACTGTTTAAAAAACCCATCTCATCAGACTGTTTTACTCAGTTCTTCTCTGTTCAGTGAAGGGTATGGAGTAAACAAGCAGGAAAAATAACTTGTCTATAAAGGAAGGACTGATCACTATTATAATTCAGGTAAGGAAGAAAGTTAAAGTTGGTATTTTCAAGGCAGGATTCTAATTCAGAAGTGGACAGATTATCTGTAGGCATTTCCAGGTTTGCTTTTATGGTTCATGCAGATACCAACAAGCCTAACACTTAACTGCTTGCCTTGCTGACATCCTATTCTGTATCTATTCTTATTTCACAGGTAGTATGGAAGCTTGAAACCAAACACATAAGGAACAATCGAGAGTTTTACTTGAGCTGGTACTGAGAGGTGTAGACAGACTGTATCAGATCTTCTTGTGTTAGTACCTTATGCTAGGGATTCAGTATTTTGTCTATAGTGAAGTTTTCAACAATCTTCTATATTCAAAAGGATATCCATAAAGATATTCTACAGCTAAGATAAATGGTTTAGGATTATTCATACTGCTATCAGCAGCAATCATTGTGAGAATAAAGGTACTTTTCCTAAAACTATCTTATAACAAAATATATGAAGTGGTCTAAAAATATGTAAATATAACAAAAAGACTTTATACTTATTATACTTGTGTTGGAGACCACGAGAAAGTCTTAGAAGCAAAACAATTCAAGTAAATCAAGATAAGCTCTCTGGGGCCTCCCCGGTGGCGCAGCGGTTGAGCGCTGGGTTGAGCTCTGGGTTGTGAAGCTGCCGGCAGCCTCTGCAGCGCCGGTTCGATCCCAGGCTGCTCCTCGGCCACTGGAGGAGGGTCCCACATGGCGCACAGACCTCTCCTGCTGCCCGCTGCTCCCCTCAGCAGTGTACTTCGGTCCTCCTGCCTGCTCTGCTCCCCGCTCTGGCTCTGGTGAATTCTCTCACCCTCCCGCGCTTCTGACTGTACCCAGTGCATGTATAAATAAATCTTTAAAAAAAAAAAAATAAGCTCTGATACATTAATAGAACATGATATTGTTTTCTAGTTAAAGGTTTTTATAAGTCTCTTTTTTAAAGATTTATTTATTCAAGAACTGGGGTACAGGTCAGATGCATGGGAGGGTGAGAGAATTCACCAGAGACAGAGCGGGGAACAGAACAGACTGACGAAATAAGCTGCTGAGAGGAGCAGCAGGCAAGCCAGGAGAGGTCTGCTCGCCATGTGGGTTGCTCTGAGGCCAGCGGGGATCGAACTGGCACCGCTGAGGCTGCGGACAGCTTCATGGCACTGTGCTCAACCGCCTGCGCCACCAGGGAGGCCCAAAGTTTTCTATATTTATCTTTTTATTTAAGTAATATAGCATTAGAATACATATACATATATATATATGGTTCAGGTGTGCATCGTAACAAGTCAACACCTCCCATATACTACATAAAATTTACCAATAAAAGTTCAACTCTAGAACATAATTCTTTTTAAAATGCATAACCCCTAATGTAATATTACAACCGGTTTACTAGGATCCACAGAAAATCTCAAATCAACTATCTTTGCACCCACTAGATAACTCTTCTGCACTGCAAAATAGGAATCATTAAAGTAGAACTACATTCATCCAAGTTTATTATATAGATTAGTATAGAACAGTTTGTACAACAAACGTATTAAAATTGACTGTAAAGAGGTGCTGTGTCCAGTTGTATTCTTTTAACTCATGGTGGAAATAAAATTTCTCAACAATAAAGCCACAGAGGTTACCACACACAGTCTTTTGAAAGTCACATTACATGTTACTTTTAATAAATATACCAAGAATGAGTCAGACAGGAGGCACAGAGACAAAACTAAGATGCCTGAAAACAAAAGAAACACTAACCTATTTACTAATAAAATAGCAAGAGAAAGAAATGATCAAAAAGGCAATAGCAAAACAAATTAAATGTGTACATAAAGGCTCCCAGTTTTCTCAAAAATTTGCAAGGTCAGCACACAGTTGTACTAAGAAATTGTCACTCACAAACCCATTCTCTCAAATTTTTTACCCCAACACCACTATTTTCAGCAACATTACTTTTAAGGATGGGGCAAATATAACATCTTATCTCTTCTGGAAAAGATGTTCAAGATAAAAAGTGATATTGAGTAGAGAGGTCTACAGACCTGACAGAGGTTTATTAAAATCCATAGCTTTCTACAAAAGTAAAAAATTTCTCATCATCAGTGTAAGAAGCAATCTGGAAAAGAATTATCAACTGATCTATGAATGATCAATCTTAAGAAAACAAAGTCTGCACTATTTATTCTGTGCCTGTCAGCATAGTATCATCACCCATTATGCTGTTTAACTATAAACTGCATTCATGGATGAATAAGCACTGTGTAAATGTATCTTCTTCGTGAATAGAAACGACATACAGATTAGTATGACATGTATTGGAGAAAATTGCTTTAAAACAGCAAAAAGTAATGTGCTAAGTACTCATTTAATACAAAATCAACCTCTTAACATTCTGTAACAGGAAATATTAAACTCTTTGCCTTAATTACTTCAAGAAAAACTTTTAAGTGTGTTACACCATTTAGCACTTCCAAGTAGGGGTCTCAATACAAGAGAAAAGAGGAGATGAAGAGGTAACACAGGAAAGAGAGAGAGAGAGAGAGAGAGTTCGTGCATGCATGCTCATGCCTCTAGGATTAAACATTCACACCATCTTTTAATGTTCAAAGCAGCTTCGGCTTTGAAATTCAGTTTTGCCTAAGACATAGGATCAAATCAAAAACACAGGAGGTTCCCCACTGTAGGCTTGATGAAGCCAATATAGTCACCTATTAAGCAGAAGATGCAATATTCAGGTTTCAAATTTACTTTCTGGCTAAAGCAACAAAACACTACTTTTTCCCCTCAGACGTAAGTTGCAGTTATTAATCCCTCTTCCCAAATGTGCTCTAAATTAGTAAAGACAAATGTGCATCATGGATTATCACAACTGGATTAAACCTACCTGAGAGTAAGGGTACCCTACTGGTCACATATACCAGGAGAATAGAAACCATTTATGTTTTTTTAATTCCCAGCACCTGGGACAGACTAAACAATATATGCTTTCAGAATGAAACTGAATCTCTTTTACTCATTTATTACATACACAGAAAGGAACATGCAGAGAAATAGGAAGGTCTGCTGATGCCCGGGTTCATGCCCTTACTTCCTACATGTGAAAGAGAGACACCAAGAGATGATGAAATTTATGCAGCATCACTGAGCTGTCTCTATCTTCATGCCAGAAACTTCAGTTCTGATTTCCAAACTGGTATGTATCTATACCAAGCCAAGGATGATGAATCTGGAGTCCCTGTCCTTCTACATCATGTTTTAGGGCTTGATTGACTGCTGCTGAAAGGGTGATGTTTCATTACTACTAAAACTCAAGTGTTCATTAAGGAAGTCAGTCAGCCTTTAGTAAGGGCTCAACTGTGTGCTTGATACTGCACTACGTATAAGAAACACAGAACTGAATAAAACATGTCTGCCCTTGAAAAGATCACAGACTAGTGTTTGAAGCAAATGCTGAGCAAAATTATTTCCGCAATAAAGTCTATAATTATGGGGTTAAGGGAACAGAAGATGCAAGATCTACTTCTGAAGACAAAACAGCTGAAGTGACCTCAGTTTTAAAGGATATATCTATCAGTCTCTTTTTAATTGCCATATTTAACTATTTAATTGCCATACTTAAACTAGTCACATACTATTGTTATTGCTAGGTTAAGGTTTCCTACCTAGTATTTTTTAATTTGTTCTGCTTTATGTCTGTCTACTTTTTTTCCTGCCTCTCTGTGGTTTACCTGAATATGATTTAGACTTCCACGTGGGAAGGGCATGTGCAGACAGAGCAAGGCAGTGGCCATCCGTA